AATATGAATATTTTAGTTTTATAATTGGAAACAATATGAATATTTTAGTTTTATAATTGGAAACAATATGAATATTTTAGTTTTATAATTGGAAACAATATGAATATTTTAGTTTTATGATTGGGAACAATATGAATATTTTAATTTTATAATTGGAAACAATATGAATATTTTAATTTTATAATTGAAAACAATAGGAATATTTTAATTTTATAATTGAAAACAATAGGAATATTTTAATTTTATAATTGGAAACAACATGAATATTTTAGTGTTTGACATGCCCTGGGTACTGCATGCTGCATGGAAAGTTATAAAATCTTTATTACCAGGTTTGTATCGCTAATTGATAATATTTTCCTAGATTATTATTATTATTTTTGTAATTATTACAGCTCCCGCCACAAAGAAGATAAAATTTGTGTCTGGAGGTTCAGCACTGGATGAATTTGTTGACCAGGAGAACCGGCTAGTTGCCTGGGGAGGCAGAGACACCTGGGAGTATGTTTGGGAACCTCCAGTTCAAATTGTAGCCGCTGATATCGCTGAGAGCACTGATCTTATGAAAGTGACCCCTGAGAGCTTGATAGAGTTTACTAGACAGTCCCCTGACTACCTAGAAGCTAATATTTCAATAGAGAATATATCATCAGATAGAATTGCATATAAGGTAAGAAGGAAATCACTCTGTTTAAACTCTAATTTTCAAATGTCGTAGACCAGTAGAGCAAGAAAGCAAAGCGAGTGCTGAGCAGTCTAAAGACCTGTAAAGTTTGTAAAAAACGAATCAACTTATGTTTCACATCACTAAGTGCAGTATTAATGACTGTGTGGTATATTTTCAAATATTTGAAGAATCCATATCTTAAGGTAAATTTCTAATTTTGTAGATAAAGACGACCTCACCGGAGATATTCTTCGTGAAACCACATACAGGGTTTATTCAACCAAACCAAACCCAAACTGTTAGGAAACAAAACATTTTTAAATCTAATTCAATATTAACAATTTAAAAATAATTGTCAAAAACATTTTTTGAATTTAAAAAAAGAAAAATTTTGTTCTAGAATTTCAGTTCCTGGAAGGGAGAAGTTTAAGAATGAAAAGTTCCAAATTATCAGGTTTTTTCTTTTACTTTTTATCTAAGAAAAGGATCTTTTAATCATTGAATATAACACACGTTCAAAGCTAAAAAAATATAATAATTTTATTACAAAGTACTGATCTATGCATTTAAAAATAACATAACAAAAATAACAGTTAAAAGAATTTTCTTGGAATATATATATATATTCATTATTCAACACCTAGATTTCGTATTAAATGAAAAGTTACAAATAAAGAGATCTTCTTTTTTGATTCCTTTTACACAATATTTTAGTCGTATCTAAACTTTTTGCCCAGTATTCTATATAAAGAAAGAAAACAATCTTCAGAAAACTTATAATTTTCAAATTGATCTTTGAACACGCACCTCTGCCCCTTTAGTAAAAGTAAATTCAACCTATATGAATCTTAAAGTCTGACCGTGTCAACCTTGTTGCACCGGATAGTCCTGCCCATAGAGCTAGGTACAGTACAAACTGGGACCGGAAAAGTTGACCCGGCTCGGAAATTCAAATGTACTACGGCTGCCCGTGTGGATAAAATATTGATAAAGAATCACAACATTTTCTAATTTGAATATATTTCAGTACGCGATCTCTACACGAGCTTAACCCTAGCGATGGATTTACATCTGGAGATAGGATCCAACAGATCAGACTCAACTGTAAACCAGCTTCAGTAGTATCCACCTACCTAGAGAATTCAACCGAACCCTCTCTCCAATCCCTGGCAGAGAGTATCTCCAGGTTGGACGGACAACTGAACGAGTGTCTGGGGATACTGGAGCAACAGAAAATACTGAACCTGACCCTACTCGGACTCAATCTATTTATTGTTTATATCTTCTGTAATAGTTTACTCATAAAATGCTGACCTTTAAGGAGCCCACGGAGGATGAGATAATTGTACGGAATTTATTGAATCTATATTTCTTTCATTCATGGTTTAACACAGATCTTTACATTTTCTTACTGATCATTACTAAATCATTACATTATCTTTATTTAGCCTTCAAACGAATTTTTACTTTTAAGCTCGTCATTAAACTGTCATACTTTGTGGGTAACCCTGTAACTTGATTTTAACTCTCAATCGCCAAGACTGAATAGTTAACACAAATTTTAAATTATTTATATTTCAATAAAGTAACGCATTTGACCATTATAAAGATTACGAAATGTTGAGTTAGTTACGTAATTAAGAAATGCCGCGTCCAATGTTTAACAGAATTAAAATGGCGCATCTGGCCTCTCAGCAATCCATTTCTTGAGGTTTGGTAGATCTTGAACTCTCTTCACGAGATTCTCCAGTTTAGGGAAATCTTTGAGAACTTCTGGATCAGTTTTCTGAAGAACCAGAGCGGACTAAAATATAGGAAACATTAGATTTCATTATGCGCGCAGGTGGAATTTGAATGCCTCGTTTGTTGATCCCTGATTACTCTATGGTGAAATTCAGACTACCTTAAAAATTTGACTCAAATTGTTTAATATCCATATACTCATATGAAGTATAATATGAAATATACGGATATAAATAGGAAGTGTAAAATATTAATAAACTTGTAGGAAGTGCATAATATACCTGTAGGAAGTATATAATAAGAATATACCTGTATGAAGTGTATAATATGAATATCTCACTGTAGGAAGTGTATAATATGAATATACTTGTAGAAAGTGTATAATATGAGTATACCTGTAGGAAGTGTATAATAAGAATATACCTGTAGGAAGTTTATAATATGAATATCTCACTGTAGGAAGTGTATAATATGAATATACTTGTAGAAAGTGTATAATATGAGTATACCTGTAGGAAGCGTATAATATGAATATACCTGTAGTAAGTGTATAATATGAATATACCTGTAGGAAGTGTATAATATAAATATACCTGTAGGAAGTGTATAATATACCTGTAGGAAGTGTATGTCCGCCCATGAGAGTGCATTAGCTGCCAAAAACTGTCCTCCAGAGCTTGTCATCCGCTTCTCAATCATCCTCAGCTTCTCTGGGAGGAAGACCTTGTTGAAGTTCTCCTGCATCTCCTTCTTCTTCTCCTCGTTTGTCTCAAACTGTCCATTATACCACTGGTTGTTAATATCCTAAACAAAAGCTTTAGTTACTGGTGTTTTTTGCCTGGCTTATTTTTTATTGAAATCCACCAAGCAACTCTTAAAATCCTCGAAACTGTCTCAGTATTTTCGTTTTTGTAATGCAAAAAGAAAAATTCTAAATACTAAGATAAAAGCTCAAATAAATATTAGACAGAGGGTCCCTAAGGAAAGCGTTCTAAGGCCGCAGATTAAACACTTAGTCTTGATTTAAATACCCTTAACTTTAACATTGAAAGTTGTTCAGACTTGGCGAGTTTTCACCAAGTAATTTATTGTTTAAAAAGAAGACTCAACACTAAAATAATTTGTTCCAACAAGGCTTGAGCCTTATTTAGCCGAAATGACATGCTTAGTCTTGAGACTCGTTTTTACCGAATTATTAAATCACAGTCTCTGGAATCTCTGGAATCTCTGGAATCTCTGGAATCTCTGGATGGGTATAGAAAAATAAGTTTCTGTTAACTGTTTAAAAATCTACCTGAACTGCATCTACCATCTCATCAATAGCAGCAGTCTCTAAACTTGTCTTACCTTGAACAAACCAGAAATTAGGTCTTATTGCAAATTACAAAGAACGTAACCGTAATTTCCGTTTAAAAAATCCCTTAACAACTCTATTTAAGAAATGCTGAAAAGATTAGTTTTTAAAACCTTGTTAAATTCTGACAATTTCCTTCGCTGTATCTGTGGCATAAATTCACAATTGCATAATCAGATCTCCGAGAGAAAAAGAAGACTACTTTCAATTTTAATTTTGATTTCTTCCCAGCTTTTAAACAGCATGAATTAGATGCACATAATCATAAAAACATAGAAAAACTGTCAATTAACATCTTTTCTTTGTTTAAAAAGCTTATTAGAAATCTTAATTTAAATCGAAAAGTCGTCTTCATTTATAAAACCACTGTATTTATTTTGATAGTCTGCTGGTCTGTTTGTTTGTATCCAAAATACGTAAAAACAGCGGAACCGATTGTGTGAAACTTTTGAAAAGTTTCCGTATTACCTGCAAGATTTGCTTCTTTAGCAATAAATCTACAAATTGCCATAGACTGGCTTAGCTTGGTTCCATTCCATTCAAGCATAGGCAACTAAATATATTACATTATACTGTATGAACAAAAAAACGGATCCACTGGCTTAATCTAAATTAAAAATTTTAAGAAAAATTACTTTTTAAATTCAATTGAAATTTTCCATAAATTGAAAATGATGATTCTGCTGTATCCTTAAATTTGACAAAATTCTGTCTGTAATATTTTGTATTTAACGAGTTTGTATTAAATCTATTAATTGTTTTCCTAGAGCTGAAAACTTTAGAATGGGATATCTTTAATCCCGATCAGTTAACTAATCTGGAGATTAATAACAAGAGGAGAACAAGCATCATTTAATCTTCATCTCTTGGATCAAGCATTAATTCCGATATCTACCATTCAAAAGTTCCCAGCTCAGGTAAAACTTATGCTTTGCATGAAACGATATTTATAATCCGGATGATTAAATATAAAATTATTCGAAGGATTAAAATTTATATAATCCACGGCTGAATGTAAAGAATTTGACCTCATGGTCAAATATGAGTCGCATGGTTTCACTTTAAATTGTATATAGTGTTTTGAGATTTGAGCCGCACTTTATTTTTGGGCGAATCATTCAAATTTAAATTTAATTTCGGCCTCAGGATGATACAGGTTTGAACTGACCTGTCCGGATGGAATTGTAGGTTTTAATTTCATCCATTCAGTAGGATCAACGAAAGGAGCCGGAAGGCGAAAATCCTGCAAACAAAAAAAATATCCACAATATCACTACTTCACTATAGTTTCAGTAGAAGTAAATTTTTCCATTTACTTCCATTTTTCCGATTAAAGGATTAATATCTTTAATTGGATAAGGAGATAGATATAGAAAGATAGATGTTACCGCCATACTATTTCTATTGGTTCAGAATAGACAACAAACACATGACTGAACCATGATTGGATCGGGCGCTAATGGACTTGGCATACAGGAGTGAATATCTTTTGTTCAATATTTAAAGACCATAGCTTTATATGAAACTATATAACGATTCAATTTGAACTACTGCGCCTTGATAGATTTTAATTGTAAACAGTAAGACCCAGACAGCTGTTAAATAGCAAGACGACTTTTAGACTCAAGTTGTGATTAACAAGAAACACAGCAATAGTGCACTGTGCAGTGTGCAAAGACAATTTAACTTAAAAAGGGATGTTTGAGTCATACCAAACTATTTGCTTTGTAACAACATCAAAAACATTTCAAGGTGGCTTCACTGTCGTCTTCATATTGCACAGTTTACCAGTTCTCAGCAGTGCTTAGGAATCCATTTAATTTTCTATAAGGTTTACTAAATCTTTTTAACAAAAAATAATTTTCAAATTTTTTGTTTTATTTTTTCGCATATTTTTATCCTAAAACTTGATAAACCATTCAGAAATGAGGAAATTTTTATAATCCCTTTTTTTCAAAAGTTCAGATTTTGTTTTTAGGAGTAAAAGATATTTTTTTTGCAGTTTTTGGTTGATATTTTACCCTTTGGATCCGGATCCAGGAAGCCAAAATATTGCGGATCCTAAGCACTGGTTCTGAGTAAACTAAATTGATAAAGTAAAAAACAGTATTCAGCATGCAGTGCTGAATGCAAGACTGAAGAAAAATCTGATTAGAAATCAGAAAAATATCTTTTTGGATAGTCCTGTAAACACCTTACTCATAATCGCTAAAACTTGATCAAATCAAAATATTCAAAAATTCTTTTTTAAAACTTGTTTCACCTCAAATTCTATTCCTGCATGTTTAAGAAGAAGACGAATAATCTCTCCACGGCCATAGAGGTCAAAGTAGGTCAACTTAACCTGAAAGTAAACCGTCCAATACGCTTACGGAAGATTAAGTGATGTAAAGTACCGAATTAAAACAAAAATAAAAAGGTTTCGAATAGCGCGACTATTGGTCAATATTTTGTCCGTTAGATCGTCCATATTGGTCGGCAATAGCAAATTTAACAAACAAGGATCGAGTGTAAATCAAGGAGTATAGATAAATAAAGGAGATAGAAACAACGAGGCCCGCCCTACCATATGATTATACATGCTTTGAAGACGGGTTACTCCATTTGGAAAAGAGTTTTTAAGGTCGTCTTTTAATTTTTTAGATGTAGTTTTTTTAACCATATTAAATAAACCCAATTTTCTATATTGTATAAAAACACGCTTGTATTGCTAATATTTTTGCATTAAAAAAAAGTATTTGTTTGCATTATTCAGCCTCATTTTTTCCCTGTTTAATGTATACAATAACCTATTCTGAATATGTGTACGCGGTATTTGTACATCAGGCAAATATTTCTTATTCAAATGAAGTACCGTCTGCAAAGCATGTATAATGATATGCTAGGGCAGAGCACGTCGTTTCTATCTCCTTCATATTCCATACTCCTTGATGTAACCCCGGTTCCAATAGAATTGGTGAAATAAAAATTTCATGAATAGCTAAAACTGTTTCTCGGGAAGTAATCAATTTGTATAGGAAAGAATTATCTTTTATTAAGATATGCAAAGAGAACAAAAAACTTCCACGTTGATATTTTATGGAGACAAATATTTTTTATTTTTAAATTTTTTTTATTTTTTAATTATAGGGTCCAGATCATACAAAAATTCTATTTTAATTATTCTTGTCTTCTATTTTTCCTCCTTCATTTTCCCATTTTCTTCCTTTGTTGACTCTTCCTTCTGGGAATTTTTTTTTTGGGGGGGGGGGATTTATTTTACGGAACCCTTTAAGTTTCACGTTGAGTTCAATGTTGAGTCTGAGGTGGAGAAGAGAGGGAGGGGTGTAAAATTTTTATCTACAGGGGTGTTAAGCTGGTCAACCTCCCAGAGTTCAGGTACTCCTCAGCAACCATCACAACCTTGTTGCCTCCAATAGCCGCGGAGAGGTTTCTGATTTATATCCTTCTCAATTCTGAGTAGTGTTAGAAAGTATTCTAATGAGCTTGGGGCTGGCCACCTTCTCAGGGTTCCGGTACTCCTCAGCAGCCATCACAACCTCGTTGCCTCCAATAGCCGCGGAGAGGTTTCTGATTTATATCCTTCTCAATTCTGAGTAGTGTTAGAAGATATTCTCATGAGCTAGGTGCTGGCTTGGTAATAATATTGTAAATTGCTGCAGGTCAAATAATGGCTGATTGTAGGACAAATGATTTTAAGACAAATTATCGTAGGACGAATGATTGATAGCTAAATTATCGCAGAGTAAGCCTTATAATTGAATGACAAAAAGTTGTAGGACAAAATGATTGTAGGACAAGTGGTTGTATGCCAAATAATTGTATTACAAATGATTGTAGGACAACATGATTGTATGCCAAATAATTGTATGTCAAATGATTGTAGGACATTTTCATATGATTGTAGGACAAAATGATTGTATGCCACACATAATTTTATGTTAAATGATTGCAGAACAAAATAATTGAATGCCACACACAATTTTATGTTAAATGATTGTAGGACAAAATGATTGTATGCCACACATAATTGTTTTTCATATGATTGTAGGACCAAATGATTGTATGCCACACATAATTGTTTTTCATATGATTGTAGGACAAAATGATTGTATGCCACACATAATTGTTTTTCATATGATTGAAGGACAAAATGATTGTATGCCACACATAATTTTATGTTAAATGATTGCAGAACAAAATGATTGAATGCCACACACAATTTTATGTTAAATGATTGTAGGACAAAATGATTGAATGCTACACATAATTGTATTTCAAATGATTGCACACACACAATTTTATGTTAAATGATTGCAGGACAAAATGATTGAATGCCACACATAATTTTATGTTAAATGATTGCAGGACAAAATGATTGTATGCCACACAAAATTTTATGTTAAATGATTGTAGGACAAAATGATTGAATGCCACAAACAATTTTATGTTAAATGATTGTAGGACAAAATGATTGTATGCCACACATAATTGTATTTCAAATGATTGTAGGACAAAATGATTGTATGCCATACACAATTTTATGTCAAATGATTGTATGACAAAATGATTGTATGCCACACATAATTGTATTTCAAATGATGGTAGAACAAAATGATTGTATGCCACACATAATTGTTTTTCATATGATTGTAGGACAAAATGATTGTATGCTACACATAATTGTTTTTCATATGATTGTAGGACAAAATGATTGTACGCCACACATAATTGTTTTTCATATGATTGTAGGACAAAATGATTGTATGCCACACATAATTGTATTTCAAATGATTGTAGGACAAAATGATTGTATGCCACACATAATTGTATTTCAAATGATAGCAGGACAAAATGATTGTATGCCACACATAATTGTAATTCAAATGATTGTAGGACAAAATGATTGAATGCCACACATAATTCTATGTTAAATGATTGCAGGACAAGTGATTGAATGCCACACACAATTTTATGTTAAATGATTGCAGGACAAGATGATTGAATGCCACACATAATTTTGTGTTAAATGATTGCAGGACAAAATGATTTTATGCCACACATAATTTTATGTTAAATGATTGTAGGAAAAAATGATTGAATGCCACACACAATTTTATGTTAAATGATTGTATGCTACACATAATTGTATTTCAAATGATTGCAGGACAAAATGATTGTACGCCACACATAATTGTTTTTCATATGATTGTAGGACAAAATGATTGTATGCTACACATAATTGTATTTCAAATGATTGTAGGACAAAAAGATTGAATGCCACACATAATTTTATGTTAAATGATTGCAGGACAAATGATTGAATGCCGCACACAATTTTATGTCAAATGATTGTAGGACAAAATGATTGAATGCCACACATAATTTTATGTTAAATGATTGTAGGACAAAATGATTGAATGCCACACATAATTTTATGTTAAATGATTGCAGGATAAAATGATTGAATGCCACACATAATTTTATGTTAAATGATTGTAGGACAAAATGATTGTATGCCACACATAATTGTATTTCAAATGATTGTAGGACAAAATGATTGTATGCCACACATAATTGTATTTCATAAATGATTGCAGAACAAAATGATTGAATGCCACACACAATTTTATGTTAAATGATTGTAGGACAAAATGATTGAATGCTACACATAATTGTATTTCAAATGATTGCAGGACAAAATGATTGTATGCCACGACAAAATGATTGTATGCCACACATAATTGTATTTCAAATGATTGTAGGACAAAATGATTGTATGCCACACATAATTGTATTTCAAATGATTGTAGGACAAAATGATTGTATGCCACACATAATTGTATGAAAAATGATTGTATGACAAAATTATTGTATGCCACACATAATTGTATGAAAAATGATTGTATTACATGTGGTAAAATATGAATATCTGATTAGATGTTTAAAAAAGAAATGTCGAAAAAGTTTATTTTCAAAATCCAATGTAGAATTCTATACATCTAAATCTGTTTAATAAATCTGAATTGAAAATAGGAAATATTAAAGACCTGTGCCATGTTGCTTCTAAGTATGTTTGTGAACTGTTTAAAAAGCCCGACTTCTTATCTTTTAGATATTTTATCACAAAATAATTAAATTTAAGATTTATCCCAGAAAATTTTCCTGAAACAAGAAATAAAATGAAATTGTTGATTTCCTTTAAAAAAAAATAATTTAAGCCTTTATTCTTATTCAATTCCTTTTAAGAGTAAAACGTTTATACAAATTTTTGATGAATTGTAATTATATAGTAGATATAAATACATTATTTTTTTCTTCATATTCGTTGAGTTTAAAATATACGTATTCTCTATGTTATCTTCAGAAGATTATAAAAATTAATTTATCCCTTATGTTATATTTATTTTGCTTAAATCACACCGACAATTTTATTATGAGTTGAGTAAACTTTAAAAAAATGAATATCCAAGGTTGTAAGTTACATGCATCAAATGGAAAAGACGGAAAACAATTTTGAATTTTTTCCATCTTTGTCGTTTCTAGAAATCCAGATGCTATGAATTATGCATTGACTATTGTGGCAGGGCAGTGGTTGAGGTGTCGTCTGGCTTTTGCCATTGATTTGACTTTCTAACTTCAGTTAAAAAAATATAGGTAAAATTTTATTACTTTCTTACGTCTGAATTTTTCAGAAAACACTGATGGACATTTGAATAGAATTTGAAATGTATAATACAAAAACAGAATTTATACAGTATATCAAATAATATTTTTTTTACTTATCAGATGTATTTAAAAAAACGATATCTTCATTATGATAATCTATTTGTACTAGGCTTTCAGCGCGCCCAATTTCTATTTCAATAGAACATTTTCTCTTTGATATACATTGTAAAACAAAATAAAAATTTAATGAAAATAACATTTTGTTGAAGGCTAAATTTTGAAATTTTGATCACCCATAAACCTTCCCGGGTGTCATGTGTGGCCCATAAAAAATTTGGGCCCGATCG